GGTGACACAAGGTGCCTAAACCCCAGCAGCATGCCTTCAAGCTGGTCTGGGAAGAGGCTGTTTCCTGGCACTACAAGGTGGCCCTCAAGTGGTTATCCCCAGATTAATTTTTCACAGCCCTTCCTCCAGCATCTTGGCTGTGCAGGTATAAGGCAGTTTGCAAGAGAGTAGGCACGGGGGCATTGTGAGGGTGAGGACTTCAAATCTTTTTTTTTCTTTTTGCAGTTTTTGGCTGGAGCTGGGTTTGGACCTGTCACCTCCAGCATATGGGACCGGCGCCCTCCTACTTCTTTGAGCCACAGGCACCGCCTGCAAATCTTTTTTTTTTTTTTTTTCCTGAGACAGAGTCTCAAGCTGTTGCCCTGGGTAGAGTGCTGTGGCATCACAGCTCACAGCAACCTCAAAGTTGGGCTCAAGTGATTCTCTTGCCTAACCTCCCAAGTAGCTGAGACTACAGGTGCCCATCACAAGGCCTTGTTGCAGTTGTCATTGTGTTTAGCTGGCCCAGGTAAACAAGAGCAAGAGTAAGACCCTGTCTCCACTAGAAATAGAAAACTAGTCGGACATTGCATCAGATGTAGTCCCAGCTACTCAAGAGGATTGCTCAAGCCTGAGAGCTTGAGTTTCTGTGAGCTAAGAAGTCATGGCTCTTTACCCAGGGCACAGAGTGAGACTCTATCTTCAAAATAAGAAAATAAAATAAAACCACCCACAAATTTATGATCTTGTAGTTCTGATGGTCAGAAGTCCTAAACTCAAAGTGTTGGGAGTGCTGGGTTTCTTCTGGAGGTTCTAGAGGAAAATCTGCTTCCTTCCCTTTTCCGCTCTCTAGAGGCTGCCTTCATTCCTCCTTGGCTCATAGCCTCATCCTCTGTCTTCAAAACCAACACAAGAGGGTCTTCAAATCTCTCCCTCTCCTTCTGCTGTCTCATCTTTTCTTATTCTGATATCCCTGCCTTCCTCTTATAAAAACCCCTGTGGTTACACCGGCCCCACCTGGAAAGATCCAGGATAATTTCCCCATCTCAAGGGCCTTAATTTAATCACACCTGCAAAGTCCCTTTTGCAATTTAAGGTGACATATAAGTTCTAGGGATTGGGATGTCCATATCTGTGGAGAAACACTAGTTCTGCCTGCCACTGAAGGAGCCTGTAGTCCCAGCCAATCAGACGTCTGAATCCAGTGTAAGCGACATATAGAGACCCCTGGTGGAAAAGGGGGAAAAAGGTGAAAAAATGAAAAGAGGAACAGGGGAAGAGTGGGGTAAAAGGCAAATGAAAAGACCTGTAAGCGCCTCCCATCCTTCTCCTCACTGGGGATTCCCTAGAGAGTCCCATCCACAGCGATCTCCTCTGCACTTAGGATGTGACAACCACCTGGGGTCCTGAGTCCGCGCTTGTGATTGTTATGATTCCACAGGTTCAGGAAATTCTTGGTAATCCATTCTCCAGACATCGGTCAGAGAGAGCTTAACATACACACAACAGATGCGACCTCAACATGTCTCAGTGGTTCCTCATCACTATTAGAATAAAAACTTACTCCTCAACACCGCTGTAAGGTTTTGACTTATATTCTTCCCTCTGGCATCAAGCAAAGTAGCTTTCTCCCATCCTGCACAGGCCTTATCTCCTGATGCCACAGGGCTTTTGCACGTGCCACTCTTCTCCCTCTTCCTGCCACTCAGTTGGCTCTTACCCATCCTTGGCTCTAGAGAACCTTTCCTAACTTCCCTGATGAGATCAAAGGCCCCTGTTACTGGCTTTCCATGTTCTTTTCTCTTATATGCTGGTCACACTTGCAAATGTATATTCCTAAAGACTGCCAACCATGACTCTCCACCCATGCTCCCTTCTCTTTAGTATAAAAACCAACCTTGTCGTGTCACATCCTAGTCTTTTTCACAAATAGTACAGCTCCATGACCATGTTTGGCCAATGGAATGAGAACAGACAAGTGATCTGTCCAACTCCTGGGCATCTCCTGGTCCTGGACTTCCACTGCCTCGAAATGACAAATTCTCTCACAGACCCAGAGATGGAGGCTGTGTGTTGAAGATAGCAGAGCCAACTCGCCCACCAGGGTCACTGTCTGACCTCACGTGGTGCAGCTGCCCTGCCAGCCTGACACTGACCACTCCTCTCCCCTCTGTTCTACAGGGTGGGAGGTAAGCTTCTACTTTACTCAAGGCACTATGTGCTGAGGTCCTGCTCTTGAGCAGCTTAGCCTACCTCCACCTGATCCCCATTTGATGGGTGATTATTTCTTTGTCTCTCCACCAGACTATTAGCTCCCCAGGGCATCTCTGAGAAAGTCTGAATGGCCAAAGCATCTCACTTTTAGGAATCTATGACCAGAAATAATAAAACTTAGGATTTGAAGTACTGGCTCAGTGTCCATAGCACAGTGGTTACGACGCCAGCCACATAACACCAAGGTTGGCAGGTTCACTCTGTGCCCTGGGTAAAGAGCCATGACTTCTTAGCTCACAGAAACTCAAGCTCTCAGGCTTGAGCAATCCTCTTGAGTAGCTGGGACTACATCTGATGCAATGTCCGACTAGTTTTCTATTTCTAGTGGAGACAGGGTCTTACTCTTGCTCTTGTTTACCTGGGCCAGCTAAACACAATGACAACTGCAACAAGGCCTTGTGATGGGCACCTGTAGTCTCAGCTACTTGGGAGGTTAGGCAAGAGAATCACTTGAGCCCAACTTTGAGGTTGCTGTGAGCTGTGATGCCACAGCACTCTACCCAGGGCAACAGCTTGAGACTCTGTCTCAGGAAAAAAAAAAAAAAAAAGATTTGCAGGCGGTGCCTGTGGCTCAAAGAAGTAGGAGGGCGCCGGTCCCATATGCTGGAGGTGACAGGTCCAAACCCAGCTCCAGCCAAAAACT